CTCTCTCTCCTCTCTCTCCCTCCCCCTCCCTCCCTCCCTCCCTCCCTCCCTTTCCCTCCATTCCCTTTTCTCTCCTATTCCAATCCGTCTCCCACTCCCTCACTCACTCTTTTTCTCCCTTAGTCTCTCTCTCTCCCTCCCTCTCCTTTTCTCTCTCTCTCACTCCCTCTTTCTATTTGTCTTTCTTCTTCCTTCTCTCTCTCCCTCTCTTTCCCTCCATTTCTAACGGCCGGACGTCGCCCCCACCTGCGTGTAATGACCGATGACCTTGCCGGACGGGGGTACGCTGCTGAAGCTCTCGACGAAGGTGTTGGGCATGTCATCCACCTCGTCGTACCAAGACTGTATCGCCTGCGTCCAATTCTGTAGGAGAGTGCAAAGTTGGTGAAGTGAAAACCAGGTATATTTTAGTTTTGTGCATCGTCGTTTTATTTGATTTCCTTGTGAGTTTTTTTTTATTTTTTCTAGTGTGTACTTACGATTCTTTCGTCATTTTCTACGCTAATCCAGTATGTGTACACATTCTGCCCGACGGCATAGTCCCTCGAGCAGATCTTCCTGCAGGCCGGGCAGTCATGGGCGAAGGTGCACTGACCCATCCAGGCCTGTGAGGTGAGATCTTATGATGGTACTGTGGAGTTCTGCGCGAAGTTTTCCTGCTTTCCCTGCTACGAGTGTGGCATCTGCTCACACTTTGTCTTATCTGCCACCATTACATTCTCTTTTTTGCTGTCTATTGCTTCGTCTTCTACTTTTCTCTATTTTCTGTGACTTTCACAGTTTTCCTACTTACAAATTCCATATAAAAAATGAAGTGGTTTACCTGTGCCACGTCTGCCAACTCATCGTTCCATTTCAGCTCCCGGATGTTGGCGCCTTTGGGCTGAGGTCCCGGATCGCCCGCGGTCTCGTCGCCTCTGGCCACCTGGTTGGCGAAAGACGTCGACGCCAATGGCAACGATATAAGAGCAGCACGCTGCGTTATGTTCGAGAAGATATTGCGTGAATTCTCAAGGCGATATATAAATCCAACTGTATGCTGAGACTACTGGCCTGCATGACTCCAAAAGATTCTAGAGAACAAAAAGAAAAAACAAGGGACGCTATCAGACCTTCGCCCTGAGAGTGTTATGAACGCTCAGGATTTCTGTCTTCTCCGCTTCGGTCAGTGGGGGCTTGGTGTTGGTACACGCAGGGGATTTCAGCATGGAATGGTCGGCCGTGAAGGCTGCGTAGTCGCAGGCCGGGGCTGCTGAAGTGGTTGTGGATGGGAGAGACGATGTATCAGGGGCAGTAGTGGATGTATCAGTGGCAGGAGTGGAAGTAACAGGAGCAGGGGTAGATGTATTAGGGGTAGTGGTAGACGTACCAGGGGCAGGAGTGGATGTATCAGGGCCAGGAGTGGATGTATCAGGGCCAGGAATGGATGTATCAGGGGCAGGAGTGGATGTATCAGAGGTAGGAGAGGATGTTTCCGCTGAAAGCATGAAAGATATAAATTCAGAAAATGCAAATACATTCATTCAAAACAGTTCGTTTGGATGCATATATGTGCGTATGTATGTATGTATACATGTACATATAAATACACGTATACATATGCATGCGTGCGTGAGCGCAGTCGCCTGAAAATTCCGTGTTTTGATTTCGTTTGCTGTTTTGAGTGAAAGGAATCTGGAAATTATGAGATAGTATAAAATCAGAATTCAATTGCAGTCACTTTTATATATGTCGTGAAAAAATCGAGTTAATGGCCAATGCCAGACTGTGGCGTACCGATGAGAGGATAAATAACCGTTTTATCGGCTGCTTAGTTTCAGTATGGCCCTTATTCCATTTACTTTAACAATTCACGCAGGCCAGTAAGATAACCGAGTAGATGGCACATGAATAGAACTGCAGGGGACTTACCACTTACTGTACTTAAGATGAGGGTTCCAGCAGAGCAAAACACGGCCATTTTCACGTCAGCCTGCACTCATGCACGCACACTTGTGCGCACACACACTAACAAACGCCCACAAAACACGAAAACGCGCGACACACATACGCACGCACTACACGTTGACATCGATGTTGAACAACATACAAATACTTGCCCACTTTCAGTCCGGGGGCTTGGCTGAAGACAATCGGCCGGCAAACGACTTTCAGTTAACAAAACGAAAATTGACATACCAGAGCAGAATCCGGAGGCGACTCCTTCAGCCCTTGCATTCCAGATTTACAAACTCAGAGAAATACAACTACATATGATCTATACTTACAGAAACTGGATTTTGAAAACTAAGTATTTTAGTAAGGAACAAGAAAAAACAACACAGTTTACGATGGTTTTACTATGACGTCAGAATCACGTATCTGCGCACTCCCTTGCCCTTCCTTCTCCAGAGAGAAACAAATGAGAGAATAAAATACATTCGTAAAAAAGCAAAAAAGAGAAAGCGAGCGAGGAACTGAAAATTTTCATTGATAACAGAAGTGAGTTATTTCGTCAACGCTCTTCGTTAATTGCTTCTTTATGTACACTCTGAAAGTACGAGGTATGCATTAGTTTCATATTTGGAAGGGGGGGGAAGAGTCATAGGGTAATATCATTTGCATACATATATATGCATATCTTTCAATATAAAAGATGAGCAAACAAATGAAATGAGAAAGAAGAAAATATGATACTCTTAATGGGTGTCTTTTGATATTTCCTCTGCGGTTGGTGTTGTGGTTGCCGGCCCTCTTCTCTGATGCGTTGGCTGCCGTTTCGTCCGTACGGATTTCCCCTTCTTACTCTTTAGTCTCTCTCATAATCTCTCTCTTCTTCCTCTCTCACATTTTCTTTCTCTCTCTCTCCTCTTCCTCTATCGCATTTTTTTTCTCTCTCCTCTCTTCTTCTTCTCTCACTCTTTCTCTTCTCTCTCTCTCTCTCTTTCTCTATCTATCTATCTATCTATCTCTCCTCTCTTCTTTTCTTTCCTCTCTTCTCTCTCTCTCTCTCTCTCTCTCTCTCTCTCTCTCTCTCTCTCTCCTCTCTCTCTTCTCTTCTCTCCTCTCTCTCTTCTCTTCTCTTCTCTTCTCTTCCTCTCTCACAATATTTCTCTCTCTCTCTCTCTCTCTCTCTCTCTCTCTCTCCTCTCTCTCTCTCTCTCTCTCTCTCTCTTCTCTCTCTCTCTCTCTCTCTCTCTCTCTCTCTTCTCTCTCTCTCTCTCTCTCTCTCTCTCTCTCTCTCTCTTCTCTCTCTCTCTCTCTCTCTCTCTCTCTCTCTCTCTCTCTCTCCTCTCCTCTCTCTCTCTCTCTCTCTCTCTCTCTCTCTCTCTCTCTCTCTCTCTCTCTCTCTCTCTCTCTCTCTCTCTCTCTCTCTCTCTATCTATCTATCTATCTATCTATCTATCTATCTATCTCTATCTCTCTCTCTCTCTTCTTCTTTTTCTTCCTCTCTCACATATTTCTCTCTCTCTCTCTCCTCTTCTTTTTCTTCCTCTCTCACAATATTTCTCTCTCTCTCTCTCTCTCTCTCTCTCTCTCTCTCTCTCTCTCTCTCTCTCTCTCTCTCTCTCTCTCTCTCTCTCTCTCTCTATCTATCTATCTATCTCTATCTCTCTCTCTCTCTCTCTTAAACTGTCATCAGCTTTCGTCTTTTCATCATATAAGTTATGCATTTCTTGTTCAGGCGGTTGCCTCCATTTCAGACTGGAGTGTGCCAGAGAACAGAGCTCAGATCTGGTCTGGTCTGGAACACCTGTGACCACATATAATTATCAATTCTTTCATTATTATTAGCGTTACTATTATCATCTGTCGTAGTAGTATTATCATTGTTGTCAAGACTGTTATCACAGAATTATTATTATCTCTTATTATTATTCGCATTTTATTACTGTTATGATTATTACTATTACCGTCGTTATAACAATAATAACTTTTACTACTAATATTACCACTATTATAATTGCTATTATATTATATTATATCAGTATTATAAAATTCGTTGACCAAAAAACTTTTATGATGAAGTGACACCACCTTTCATGCATGAGTAACGCCAGATATTTACAGTACGAACTACAATTTTGATCTTGAAAAAAAAAATAAAGGGTATCATTATCCGACAACACTCACTCGGTGAGCCGCTACATTTAAAGGGAATGCGAGATCTCAAACCCTGCCCAATCGCCTCTACTCTGCCATAGCCTTCCATAACACCCTCGATCATCTCCCTAACCCATTCCGTTGTTTAGGGGTGTTTAAGGGTCTATAAGGGTATACGAGTACTCAAACCATATCCATTCTCATTAACTCTGTGATAGCTTTCCATAGCACCCTGGATCACTTCTTTAACCCTTGTTGTTGTTTAGGGTGCATTTAAAGGATCTATAAGGGGTACGAAAATTTTCATACCACCCCAGTCTAATTTAGAAATTTACTCTGTGATAGTTTCCATAGCAACCTAAATAAACCTGCAACCATGTACTGTTGCTTCACCATTTAAGTGGTATTTTAAGGGGATTTCACGTTCTGACCCCTTATAGGGACCCCTTATCAGAACGCCACATAGCCTAAGCCACGCAGGACCTCAAGACCTTTCTAACGCGCCCAAAAACTCCCCCCCAACTCCTTGTGGTTGCTGAGAAAAGGTGAACTTAAGTAGGTCTCTGGTTATGATTTATAGTTTTACAGTATGAAAGTTGTTAATATATAATTCTGTGGTCGGCTACCTTTTTTCGGCTCAATTGGATGAGAATTTTTTTTTTTTTTTTGGGGGGGGGCAAGGGCCCTGGCTAGGGCCTGAATATACACCTGAAACATCACATTCAGCAGAGGTTCCCTACAATTACTGCTATCATCATAGTGATACTTATTATCATTATCATTATTACTATTAGTATTAATAGTATTATTGTTATCATTATTGTTTTCAGTTATCATTATTATTAGCATTACTATCCATTATATTTTCATAATGATCATTCTTTTCATTATCATGATCATTACCATCATTATCACAACTATTACCATTACCACTATTATTATTACCTTCATTATCATTATCATTACCTTCACTATCATTATCTTCACCATTATTGCTATTATCATTATTGTTATCATTAGTATTACCATCATTATTATTACAATGATAATGATAACGATAATATTGATAATGACAATGATAATCCTAATAGCAATCATTAACAGGCCATCCATAATTTTCATCCTTATCACGTCTACAAAGCGAAGACTTTTGATCAACCCCCCTCTTGATTAAAATCAAGTCAGATGACAGGACAACACAAAGAACTCAGATTTTTTTTGCTTTGGCTGTATTTTTGTTATTTTTTTATAACTTCAGATGGTTTGATGCAAATGAAAAGTCTTTAAAGGGCTTATGTGAAGTAACAACTAAAAATTTTAAAAAGGGAGAATTAGCTCGCAAACCATCTCTCTAATATGAGTAAAAAAAAAAAAGGAAATCTAAAAATAATGCCCCAAAATTGATTTATTTCAATTTTCCTAAGTCAAGTTCCTGCGCAAATCCAGAACCCGGTTGTGTGACGTCAATTCCAGAACACAATCACAGCATTCTCTGCATTCAATACATTGTACATGGCGGACTCACTACAAGACTACAGCAGCAGTGAAATCAGTGAAGTTTCATCGGATTATTCCGACGAGGACAGAGGTACAACTTCTTCAGAGAGTGCCTATGTCTTCGAAGAGTTGGAAGAAAAGGAATATCAAGGGTTGATGGTTGTTGGACTGTACATGCACGAACCCGACGCTGTGGATGTCGTGGAAGTTGTGCCAAACCAGCCAGACATGGAGTGGCGTCGAGACCCGAAGAGATTGAATGAATGGTAATTTTCTAAATATTTTTTTATAGTCGAACATGTGATCCCGCTTCTGTATGGTACAAAATTTCTGCAGGCTGAGCTATCTCTTGTCTGCACCCATGGCGCAGGCCTACATCCATTCGCGGGGATTGGTATTTATTTGTGTTGTGCTTTTTGGGGTATACCTACACTACCTCTGTGTAGTAATACATGCACACTTGCAATGCACTCGGCACACTGTGTCGTACCCACGCAATGAATGTTTGTTACGCCGCCAAGCAATAGTACTCTTTCAGAGTTTGTTTTGCGCTGTTGTGATCATGACAAATATAAATGGGAAATGGTCTACCGTTTTGCAAATCCCATGTCGTAAGCCATTCTGTTTTGCAAAGCAATCGGGCTCGAAGTGTTTCAGGCAAAGTACGCTGGTTGTCACAGGTTGAAAGTTGCTACCTGGTGACATGAATGGGAACAATGTATTGCTACACAACGCCGCGGCATCCTTTGTTACAAACTTTAATAGCTTGAAACTGGGACAATTCCGTGATATCCTTGACTCGCGGTGCACTGTGTGTACCACGCTATTCAACAAGATTCTCCCTGGTCCTGGAAATGACGTCACGACCGGGGATTGCCGAAGACCGACGAGTTTTGCATCTTCGTTTCTAAGGGCGTTGCTATGGGATTTGGGGGGATACCAGAGGGCCTCTTCGATTTTTTTTTTTTTTTTTTGCATGAATAGGCTAAGCACAACTACTTAACAATATTCAAAGAAAAAACAATGCACGGTAATTACTTCACATGTGCCTTTTAAAGCAATATTTAAATATTTCCCATATTTAAATACATCAAACATGAAAATTGCTGAAACCATCCTGGCATGAACTATGATGTGGCAGCTGGGCAACACCAAAGGGAGAGCCACAGTCCAACAGAGTCCTGCAACACACCCGACGAATAATCGTACACGTTTGAGATAAATGAAGTTTACTGGTTCAGTGTGACAAGTTATACATCTAATACATTTCTTATAAGTGGGTACATTTTAAGTTGCTGAATGCTGTAACACTATTAGCTTAATAATGTACTTATTGCACACTGGAACATCACTAATCACCATGTAGATTGAGCTATTTTGGTCTTAGTAAAGGGGGCAACCCTAGTACTGAGGTTCAGGTGTTGGGGTCAGACCTCATATATTGCATAGCATTTTGTTGTGATCATATTTGTATGAAAAGTTTTTTATCATTTTCATATAGTACTTAGCTTTATATAAAACAAAAACGGAATTATAAAATGACGCATATTTTATTTAATATATATATATATATATATATATAATATATATATATATATATATATAAAGCATGAGAAATTCAATATTACATTACTAACTAAAAGTATTTAAACATTTAACATTAAGCAATATTTACAATCATATCACTGGCAATGGCAAAATTAATTCATATGTACAATATGGTTACAGTCACTGAACCTTAGAAAAGTCTTTGATGGATGTCTGTTTCTGTAATGTAGATGAACAGCAAAAGTCTCAAGCTGAGATTCCACCTCAAGGAACAGATTCTTCAGGTTTCTATCTCACGGATCATGGACATGGCTTGGCACACACTGGTTACTGCTAATTGTACTGGCCCTGGCAGTGGCTCCTCTGGTTCGGGTCTGGGTTTTGTTCCACAACTATACACTCCTCCCAGTCCATACAGATATGCATGGTTGGTTAATTGGAGTTTACTTGCCATTTCAGACTGTAAACATTGTCCGCTTTCCGCAATACTCGGGTGTCCTTTGGACCGGAGTTTTAATTGATAGGATTATGTAGTACTTCATTCCAGTCTGGCCAACTTTTGTGTTAATTGCTGGATGTCCGCGATACTGGAGTGCCCGGCAGGCAGGGTGCCACTGTATATTGTTTAATGCAGTGCAATAAACAAGACAGGGAATCCTATAATTATTAGACTCTGACCCTACGCCATGTAACTGTAATCTAATATTCATTTGTTTATGACAGTGAATGGTTAAATATTATCATTTTTATCCGATTTCTTTATCGACTAATATTTAGAAAACGATCCTACGGAAAAGCGGCCAGTCCTATTAGCAACACGGCGTGGCACGAAATTTGAAACATGGCGGCTGCCGATTCGCCCATTGACGGATCATCGTTATCCATATTAAAAAAAAAAAAAAAAAAAAAAAAAAAAAAAAAATATATATAATATATATATATATATATATATATATATATATATATATATATATAATATATATTATACATATATATATATACATATATATATATATATATATAATATACACGCCTGGTTTCCCCCCCTCCCCATGTACGCTCATGATAATGATGAATATTATGGATGACCCCAAGTGTTAACAGTAATATTTATAAACGAACCTTTACACTCCAAACATTTTCTATTTTACTATTTTGCTTACTTCTCTTTCTACCATTCTTCTCGCTAGAGCCTCTTTCTATGCTATCCATCATTCTTTTATCCTAACAGTCGGTTCATACCACGTGCCAAGTTTTGTATCGACACACTTGTTTATCTTTTGGCTCACATGCTCGCGCTGTCGGTCTATTATCTATTTTCTTTATTCGCAGTGTTACTTCTAAGCAGCTCATCCTATTTACCCATTTACAAAGCCTCTTATTCTTTACTCATAAATGTAACGAGTTATTTATTCATTCAGTCTTATGTAATATTCCCCTGAGTTTACCGCGAATTCATTCCCTTATTTTATCAGGCAAATAACAACGGCCACAGCTGTTGTGCCGTTCCATCAAACGCATTTTCCACTGTAACATCTGTATAATGTTCTGCTGCACCTGTGGTTGTGTTCGAAACACTAGATTGACGCACGAATCTCTAAGCATATAGATTAATAAATTCACAATCCGATAAAGTCGCTATTACAAGAGAAAGCGGTTTTGAAAACCGTAAAAAAATTATAAATTTCGAACTATCGAAAGGAATGTACTTGTTTAGCCATTTCTAACAGTCTCACTTAGTCTCTAACAACTTGGTCTATACCCAATTATAACTCCATCAAATCCTTAAATGAAAGAAGTATAACGATTTCACACGTAAGACATATATCATTTTTTTATCTTTATTTTTCTTCAACTTTGTGGGCTTTGTACGTCGTCAGGTTTTCCGGATTGAAAACAAAGCTGTAGGTACAACTGAATGTAATTATACAGTGATGATCACACACACACACACACACACACACACACACACACACACACACACATATATATATATATATATATATATATATATATATATATATATATATATATATAATATATATACATATACATATATATATATACATATATACATATATATACATAAATATAACTATATATATATATATATATATATATATATATATTATATGTATAACACACACAAACACAGGTATAAAAGTGTGTGGTTGTGTGTGTGACATACATATATGTATATAAATATATGTTATATAAACATATATGTATATAAACTATATGTATATAACATGTATATATATATGTATATTATATAATATATATATATAATATATATATATATATATATATATATATATATATATATTCATATATATATAAACAGATATATATATATATATATATATATATATATATATATATATATATATATATATATATATATATATATATATATATATATATAAATTCCATTCCCTTACTTTTTCTACCTCTATCAATTCTTTCTTCTGTTTTATGTCTCTATCTGCTCGTCATATTACATATTTTAGTCATTTTTTCTTTCTTTCTTTCTTTCTTTCTTTACTGGAAAATCTCACAAGAAAAAAATCGAAGTGCGATCTGGCAGCATTTTCTTCGTCTTTGGAACGACCTTTTACTTCATTTTACACACTAAAACTTTTGATTATATCTAAATAAACTTTATACTACTAAATTGTTTTGTTACTACTACGCCTATTATCTTTATTCTTTAACTTCATGTTTGCATCAATTAGCATATTTGGCAAATCCAATGAAACGAGTTCGAACAATCATTCTTGTGCCAGAAGACGCCGGAAATACTTTGTGATTTTGAAGCGGCCATCCTCATAATTATTTCTGCATTTTCACCATTAATATGTAATCTGTTTATTTTATTCTACATGCATAAGCCAAATGTAAACGCTAACAGGCACTAATGGTAACAAGAACGCACATACCTACCATCCTCTCTTATCGTCCCCATTCTAACATCATTCTCAGCTTTTTGCGCTATAGTTAATTCTATTAACTCTATTCTCAGTTCCTTCTCATAACGGTCGTAATATTTTCACTTTCCTAACTCTCCCTTTCAACATCCCTTTAATTGTGCTGTCGCAAAACCTACGATTGCTCCGGCAAAATTTCGCTGAGGTCCCGGACTGCCCACCTTTTTAGTTACTGATGTTAGGGTGCTTGTTTTTGACGTTGATTTTGAATATATTAATGTTCAAGCAAAATTTTTGGTCCTTGCCAGGGCCTTAATAGTTTACCAAATTGCAATTGCCGTGGTATTTATCGCTATTCTCTCCGGTTCAAACAAAACAACAGGTAACTGAATTTCGAACCGATCAACAGTTGCTCCATCTCAGGGTTGTCAAACTACGGCTGAGCCAAGNCGTAAAAAATGAAAAACTAAGCCAGGTCTTTGGTCACAAAGATTTTTTCCCCCTGAAAGAATTTTTTTTTGGGGGCCAGGTTTCTCTACAGGAGAAGCAGCAAGGTCCGCCTGTTACAGGAAATTACCTGAGAAAATTTTTGGGCCAAGGTTCTATAGGAGAAGCAGCCAGGTCCCTGTTTTTTTACAGAATTAAAACCTGAAGAATTTGGCCAGGTTTTCTAATAGGAAGGATAGCAGCAAGGTTTCCCTTGTTTTTTACAGAAATTACCAGAGAAGGTTCCAGGTTTCTATAGGAGAAGCAGCAAGGTCTGTTACAGAATTACCTAAGAATTTCCCAGGTTCTACAGGAGAAGCAGCAGGTCCTGTTACAGAATTACCTGAGAATTTGCTAGGTTCTATAGAAGCAGCAGGTCCTGTTACAGAATTACCTGAGAATTTCCCAGGTTCTACAGGAGAAATACCAGGTCCTGTTACAGAATTACCTGAAAAGTTGCCAGGTTCTATAGGTGAAGCAGCTGGTCCTGTTACAGAATTACCCGAGACTTTGCCAGGTTCTATAGGAGAAGCAGTAGGTCCTGTTACAAAATTACCTGAGAATTTACCAGGTTCTACAGGAGAAGCAGCAGGTCTTGTTACAAAATTACCTGAATATTTGCCAGGTTCAGTTTTAGAACCACGAAATGAACTAACAGGTCCTGTTACAGAATTACCTGAAAAGTTGCCAGGTTCTATAGGTCAAGCAGCTGGTCCTGTTACAGAATTACCTGAGAATTTGCCAGGTTCTATAGAAGCAGCAGGTTCTGTTACAGAGTTACCTGAGAAGTTGTCAGGTTCTACAGCAGAAGCAGGTCCTGTTACAGAATTACCTGAAAATTTCCCAGGTTCTACAGGAGAAACACCAGGTCCTGTTACAGAATTACCTGAAAGGTTGCCAGGTTCTGTAGGAGAAGCAGCAGGTAATGTTACAGAATTACCTGAAAATTTCCCAGGTTCTACAGGAGAAACACCAGGTCCTGTTACAAAATTACCTGAAAGGTTGCCAGGTTCTATAGGAGAAGCAACAGGTCCTGTTACAGGATTACCTGAGAATTTACCAGGTTCTGTAGGAGAAGCAGCAGGTCCTGTTACAGAATTACCTGAGAATTTGCCAGGTTCTGTAGGAGAAGCAGCAGGTTACAGGATTACCTGAGAATTTACCAGGTTCTATAGGAGAAGGAACAGGTCCTGTTACAGAATTACCTGAGAATTTGCCAGGTTCTGTAGGAGAAGCAGCAGGTCCTGTTACAGAATTACCTGAGAATTTGCCAGGATCTGTAGGAGAAGCAACAGGTCCTGTTACAGAATTACCTGAGAATTTACCAGGTTCTATAGGAGAAGCAACAGGTCCTGTTACAGAATTACCTGAGAATTTGCCAGGTTCTGTAGGAGAAGCAGCAGGTCCTGTTACAGAATTACCTGAAAATTTCCCAGGTTCTACAGGAGAAACACCAGGTCCTGTTACAAAATTACCTGAAAGGTTGCCAGGTTCTATAGGAGAAGCAACAGGTCCTGTTACAGGATTACCTGAGAATTTACCAGGTTCTGTAGGAGAAGCAGCAGGTCCTGTTACAGAATTACCTGAGAATTTGCCAGGTTCTGTAGGAGAAGCAGCAGGTCCTGTTACAGGATTACCTGAGAATTTACCAGGTTCTATAGGAGAAGGAACAGGTCCTGTTACAGAATTACCTGAGAATTTGCCAGGTTCTGTAGGAGAAGCAGCAGGTCCTGTTACAGAATTACCTGAGAATTTCCAGGTTCTGTAGGAGAAGCAGCAGGTCCTGTTACAGAATTACCTGAGAATTTGCAGTTCTATAGGAGAACCAGGTCCTGTTACAGAATTACCTGAAAGGTTGCCAGGTTCTGTAGGAGAAGCAGCAGGTAATGTTACAGAATTACCTGAAAATTTCCCAGGTTCTACAGGAGAAACACCAGGTTCTACAGTCCTGTTACAGAATTACCTGAAAGGTTGCCAGGTTCTATAGGAGAAGCAACAGGTCCTGTTACAGGATTACCTGAGAATTTACCAGGTTCTATAGGAGAAACACCAGGTCCTGTTACAAAATTACCTGAAAGGTTGCCAGGTTCTGTAGGAGAAGCAGCAGGTAATGTTACAGAATTACCTGAAAATTTCCCAGGTTCTACAGGAGAAACACCAGGTCCTGTTACAGAATTACCTGAAAGGTTGCCAGGTTCTGTAGGAGAAGTAGCAGGTCCTGTTACAGAATTACCTGAAAATTTCCCAGGTTCTACAGGAGAAACACCAGGTCCTGTTACAAAATTACCTGAAAGGTTGCCAGGTTCTGTAGGAGAAGCAGCAGGTAATGTTACAGAATTACCTGAAAATTTCCCAGGTTCTACAGGAGAAACACCAGGTCCTGTTACAAAATTACCTGAAAGGTTGCCAGGTTCTATAGGAGAAGCAGTAGGTAATGTTACAGAATTACCTGAAAATTTGCCAGGTTCAAGTTTAGAACCACGAAATGAACTAGCAGATCCAGTTACAGAACTACCTGAGAATTTGCGAGTTTCTATAGGAGAAGCAGCAGGTCTAGTTACAGAATTACAGAGAATTTGCCAGGTTCTATAGGAGAAGGAACAGGTCCTGTTACAGAATTACCTGAGAATTTACCAGGTTCTATAGGAGAAGCAACAGGTCCTGTTACAGGATTACCTGAGAATTTACCAGGTTCTATAGGAGAAGGAACAGGTCCTGTTACAGAATTACCTGAGAATTTGCCAGGTTCTGTAGGAGAAGCAGCAGGTCCTGTTACAGAATTACCTGAGAATTTGCCAGGTTCTGTAGGAGAAGCAACAGGTCCTGTTACAGAATTACCTGAGAATTTACCAGGTTCTATAGGAGAAGCAACAGGTCCTGTTACAGAATTACCTGAGAATTTGCCAGGTTCTGTAGGAGAAGCAGCAGGTCCTGTTACAGAATTACCTGAGATTTTGCCAGGTTCTATAGGAGAAGCAACAGGTCCTGTTACAGAATTAACTGAAAATTTGCCAGGTACAGTAGGAGAAGGAACAGGTCCAGTTACAGAATTACCTGAGAATTTACCAGGTTCTATAGGAGAAACAGCAGGTCCTGTTACAGAATTACCTGAGAATATGCCAGGTTCAATTTAGAACCACGAAATGAACTAACAGGTCCTGTTACAGAATTACCTGAGAATTTGCCAGGTTTTATAGGAGAAGCAACAGGTCCAGTTACAGAATTACCTGAGAATTTGCCAGGTTTTATAGGAGAAACAGCAGGTCCTGTTACAGAATTACCTGAGAATATGCCAGGTTCAATTTTAGAACCACGAAATGAACTAGCAGATCCTGTTACAGAATTACCTGACAATTTGCCAGGTTCAGTTTTAGAACCACGAAATGAACTAACAGGTCCTGTTACAGAATTACCTGAGAATTTGCCAGGTTCAATAGCAGGTCTTGTTACAGAATTACCTGGGAATTTGCAAGGTACAATAGGAGAAGGAACAGGTCCAGTTACAGAATTACCTGAGAATTTGCCAGGTTCTATAGGAGAAGCAGTAGGTCCTGTTACAAAATTACCTGAGAATTTACCAGGTTCTACAGGAGAAGCAGCAGGTCTTGTTACAAAATTACCTGAGAATTTGCTAGGTTCAGTTTTAGAACCACGAAATGAACTAACAGGTCCTGTTACAGAATTACCTGAAAAGTTGCCAGGTTCTATAGGAGAAACAGCAGGTCCTGTTACAGAATTACCTGAAAAGTTGCCAGGTTCTATAGGAGAAACAGCTGGTCCTGTTACAGAATTACCTGAGAATTTACCAGTTTCTATAGGAGAAGAAGCAGGTCCTGTTACAGAATTACCTAAGAATTTGCCAGGTTCTATAGGAGAAACAGCAGGTCCTGATAAGAAGTTGCCAGGTTCTATAGGAGAAGCACCCGAGGAACGAGCAAGTCCTGTTTCAGGATTTCCTTCGACACCAAAGTCAGAAGAACCCCATGCCTCCCCAAGTGAACTGACTGTGAAGGTGCCAGGTTCCGAAACAGAATTATCTGCGAATGCAACAGACAAACAACCTATGGGGCCATCCACATCATGCGCTGCATTCTATGTAGGATTTGTGCCGTGTTTAATGCCTATAATTTTCATACCCTATCCCTACTCAGTGCCCGTGGAACCTGCTTCGGATTCGAAGGTGAGAGTTCAGTCTACTGGCCTGCCTCTGCTGGGATTAGGCAAATACCCTGGTCCTGGCCGCGGTACAGAAGGCTCCTCGTCAGAAGCCCAAACACTTCCTTTTCTTCCCCTTTCTCCTGCTCAGCCCAAGGGACTTCTGGGGATGGTAGGATATCCAGTGCTCACTGGCAACAAAGGCTCCTCCTCTGCCGGAAGCCCTTGGACATCAACAAATCCTCAGTCGTCAAATCATCCTTCCATCGTCGTTAATGTTATTTTACCGCAGCCGCCGAAATGAGTGGGTTGATTAAGTATAGAAATGTACTTTGATTATCAAGATGTATGTGACTGGGAATTTTACATAGAAAGATTAAAGATCATTTTAAACTTACTGTACTTTTTTTTAGAGATACCTAGGCTACGATATACATAACCAATTCATGCATTCGCGCGCACACACACACAAAAAGAAAAGACAAAAACTAGAAAAAATACATATAGCGATGAGCATCGATACATGGAACTGTCTAGTTCGATACCGATACATAAATACTTCAACATTGGCTAAAGCTATTAGATCGAAATATCGAGAGAGAGATTGAGTGAGAGAGAGAGAGAGAGAGAGAGAGAGAGAGAGAGAGAGAGAGAGAGAGAGAGAGAGAGAGAGAGAGAGAGAGAGAGAGAGAGATAGGGAGCGAGAGAGAGAGAGAGTAAGATAGAGAAAGAGAGAGAGGCGGGAGGGAAAGAGAGCGAGAGAGATAGAAAGGGAGAGAAAGAGGGAAAGCGAAAGACACAGACAGAGAGAGAGAGAGAGAAAGAAAGAGACAGAGAGACAGACAGACACAGAGAAAGAGAGAGAGAGAAAGAGACAGACAGAGAGAGGGAGAGCGAAAATGTAGAAAGAGAGAAAAGGAGAAAGAGATAGGAGACAGGGAGAGAGAGGGGGGGGAGGAGAGAATCATAGATGGATAGAGATAGATAGATAGAGATTAGAGAGAGAGAGAAAGAGAAAGAAAGAGAGAGGGAGAGAGATGGTAAGAGAAAAAAAAAATAGATATAAAGAGTGAGCGAGAGAGAAAGTGACAGAGAAGAGGAGAAGAGGGATAAGAAGAGAAAGAAAGAGAGAGAGAGGAGAAGAGGGAAGAGAGAAAGGAAGAGAAAGAGAAAGAGAGAGAGAGAGGCAAATAAAGGTAGAGAAAGAAAGAGAAATAGAAACAAAAAGAGAAAGAGAGCGAGAAAGAGAGAAAAAGAGAGTACAAAGGAAGTGAGGGAGGGAGGCAAAGGGAGAGTTCAAATTCAAATCAAATTCAAGAGGTTTATTCCATAGATTATTACATTGGGGATTATACAGAAAATCTATGAAATTTCAAATAAGATCATATGGATGCTAATAGCTTACCTAAACTCACATGAAATCAAGGTATTCACAAAACATCTTAAATTCATGATGTGATGCAGCATTGATTTAAATAAATACATAAAAACGCGTTTGAAAATTAATCAGTCGGAGAAACATCATAGTGTTGTCGATATCGTAATAAGAAGTATACATATACATATAAACATAGCCACATATACATATATACATAGACACATATCCATATACATATATACATAGACACATATCCATATACATATATACATAGACACATATCCATATACATATATACATAGACACATATCCATATACATACATGCTTACATAAGACCTTTTTTTCGGTGCCAAGAAACTGTCTAACTACACTAGAAAGTGTCGTTTTTTTCATTTGCGACATTTCTCTGGGCTGATCGTGACAGCAACGCTGCCGATGCTTCTACGCTGTTGCCACAGGTGCGGCTCCACCCCCATTCCTAGGAATTGTACTCGAGTTGACGAATCTGATTTTGTTTTTGAACTGTATCAATTAACAAATCACTGGTATACTGTTGTAACATTAAGAAATAACAATAAATACAAGTTGTTAGCTATCAACATCTTCAAATTACAAATTAAACGACGGAAAACTATCGAAAAAAAGTTGAAAATACGCGGGCCCTAAGCGCCTCAAATCGTACTTCTTCATTCGTCCATCGACAATGGTTTCGAAGGTCACACTTCTTTAAATATTTTGAAAATGACACTATTTATTGATTGATGTCAACTACATTCAAAAGGATATATAAGTTTACGTGTGCATATTCAATTATACATACATAATAAGTAAAATGATTATGTAAAACTTAATATAGATTTTCATAATATTCTTTTAACCATTCGAACACATTATGTAAATAAAACATGAGATACTTCCCCGTATATTATTCGTCACGGAACACTTTTGGAGGCAAGGTTAAAGCATAAAAAAAAACAGTAACAAGCCTTGCATGACATATTGCATAAAAATGTACACATACAAAAGATAAACCTGAACCTCGATCTTCTTAGCCGTAGCCCTATTAATACGAAAGCATATAAACCTTAAACTCTCTATTGTTATATATGGTAGTAGTGTATATTTTTAATATCATATTTCTGCATATATATATATATATATATATGTATATATGTATATATATATATATATATATATATATATATATATACATATACATACATAAATGCATATATATATGTATGTGTATATATATATATATATATATATATGCATGTGTGTATATATGTGTTTAAATATATATGTGTGTGTATGTGTATACTGTATATATAGGTATGTATGTATGTACACATTTCTGTATGTATATATAATATATATACATATAGGCACACATACACGCGCGCGCGCGCGTAAATACTTTTAAACTAGTACTTAGTGCAATAATATCATCATTAACATCATCAACATTACTATTATTGCATCATACAGTGTAGCATCAACTTTGAACTTCCCATTTTCTTCCAGTTTTAGAACGGGCAGAGGTGCTCCGCGCGCTCACCAGCCAGGTGCAGTTGCTTATATATGACTCCGCCCCCATAAATAGGGGCGGAGTCATAGGAAACTGTAGTACTACACCTCTTGGCACCGGAAAAAAAGACCTATAAACACATATGCGCACAATTATAAAAGACATGTAGAAAGAAACGTGTAAGCACATAAATAGTAGCAAACAAACAGAAAGTAATCACATGAGCACACAGTTGCATCAAAATTACAAACATTTAAACATTCCGATCTTCTATAAGTAATGATAGAACGAAATATAGTGTCAAAACTAAACAAATGCAATCATGTGATGTCAACATAGTAACAGAAATCACATGCATTTAAACTTTCTGACGTTCTATAAGGTGTTTGAGTTCGAAATAGCCATAGAGGGCATGCATCACTGTGTTGCTTTTATACGAATAACATCGTTAGAAGAGTTTATGTTGACTGCATTAATAATACATGAGTTTTTGCTTTATTTACCATAAGACCATTTTTTTAAATAGCATTTTCACTGTGATAGAGTAACCTCCGCATTATTTATTAGTGCTTGAAGTTCGTTAATGCTGCTATTAAGAACCAGTCGGGTGTCGTCTGCATATTGCACCAGTAGGCAGTCTAGTATGTGCACTGACGTATCATTAACAAATATAAGAAATGATAGTGGCCTAATATGGAACCTTGTGGTGCACCAAAGTCGACGTTAAGTGGTGGTGGAATAACTTTACCGATGCGAACTGCCTGAGATAGATTAGAGAGATAAGAATCAAACCCTGAAGGGTCGACTCCCAACTTTTCACATTTTTAAAGGAGGATGTTATGGCTCACACTATCAAATGTCTTCGAGAGGTCCAATAAAAAGACAAGAGAGACTCTTTGTCTATACATGTTTTCATAAATGCTATTTGTAACTGTTAACAGAGCCGTTTCTGTTGAGAGTCTAGGTCTAAATCCATGCTGACTCTTTGTTAATAAATCATTGGTTTCTAAATGAAGAGTTAGTTGCAGGTAATTACCGTAGTTTAAGGCAATGCAACTTTTTAAGGTAATTCTAACGTAATTCTTTTTTCTTTGTACTTTGTAATAAATATTATTGATGATCAAGTGTGATAATTTTCGTCTTACTGTCAGTTTGTATTTGAAAATGTTTTGTGTGTGTGTGTGTTTTGTAAAGATAAGTATTATTGATGATCTAGTATGATAACACTTTGGACAGTCTTACAGTCATTCAGTATTATTTATCTTGAAGAAGGAAAGGGTATTAATTTTCTTAATAATTCCATTTATGTAGCCTATCAGTTTTGTTTTTTTTCTCATATGCGAATTATGGTTGATTGCTACCTCAAACCAGACCTGTTCAGTTGTGCAATCGTCATTAAAAGAATCGTGATCAGAGAAAGTGCACTTTTGTTAAGATACAATCATATTTTCAACAACAAAAACTAAGGTAATTTTCAGGGATATGCTCCAACAGTTCTAAGGTAATTTGATTAAATCTAAGGTAAAAAACAACATCTAAGGTAATGTGGTAATGTTTATCTGTGAGAGCCGTGGTTAGTTGGTTAGCAATGATTTTCTCTAAAAGCTAATAAAATTGGTAGAAGAGAAATAGGACGATAATTGTGTGTCTTCTTTATCTCCAGCCTTGAGCTAGGTATTTCTGATAACAGTAATGTAGATGACAACAGGAAGAACATCTCTTAAGTATGCTAGAGGTATGCCACCTGAGCCAATGGCCTTGGAGTTATTAAGATTCTTTATCACCAGGATGATAAAATTCATATCAGCTGGTTGTGGTTTAAAGCTGGGCACTGGAGTACTCGGGAAGGCTTGATATTTTTCGTCGTTAAAGTGAGTTTACGTCTGTGACTGTTCAAAGGACGTGCGGCCTCTGTTTGCAAAGTCATTGCTGAATTCCTCGGCCTTCTTGGTTAGATTACTAATATCCTCATGTTGAAACGAGTTGCTTCGGGGCGTTATGCTGCGAATAACTTTCCATGTGCTGCTTGTGCCACCTCTTTTGCATGATTGCATGGCGGAAATATTGTGATTTGCTATTTTTTAATAACAGAACTAACACCTTTTTGCTCTGCCTTATATTGGTTATTGGTTATGTAGAGCAATATTTCTTCTATCCATTTTGAACTTTCTTTGCAGAACATTTCTCGACTGCATCAAATTTGGGACGTTATCCATGGTGCTGCGGGGCAACGGATTTCCCTTGTAACAATGGGAGCACAGCCGTTCAGATTCTTTATAAAAATTCCGTCAAAAATTTGTACTTGCTTGTTAACATTGCCAGTGTGAAGAATTTGATTCGGGACATTTGTATCAGTCTGAAGTAAAATGTCAAACGTATTTTGACTGTAGTTACTTT